TTAAGTATTTGTAGGAAGGCGGTCGACCTTTCCACAATTCATAAGGAGTGCTGTTGGTTTCCTTATAGGGTATTCTGTGAAGAACAAAATTAGCAGACAATATTGCTTCCCCCCACAAATTCTGTGGTAAGCCTGAATTTAGTAACATGACATTCATCATTTGTTGTCTATGATGTGCTGGATTCAGAAATTTCAAATCATGATTCATAAATTTCAAATGAAAAATCCAAAATAATTATGACTACACGAATCAGAATTAAAGTTTTGACAAAATCATATCCTCATAAAAATTTTGCTTAAGAATCAAACAATTCAAAAAACTTAATTTGATTGTATACATTCTTGCAACTCATTTACGAATAAATGTCACTGTCATAAAAATATTGGTGACAGAAGAAAATTAAATTATCTTAACTAATGCAAGAGATATACCCCCATATTAATAAAATGGTTCATGGTTTAACAAATTCTACTACGCAAGTAAAATAATTATTAATGACATCTCATGTCACATAATTCAAAATAAACTAAAAATCAACATAAAAGATTTCTTAAATTTACTTTCCAATTAAATGGAACGATATAACTACATACATTTTCATGTTTAAATTTCTCTGGTGTTTAAACACCCATTCAAAATTGATTAGAAAAACTCAAATTAATCAACATATCAATTTAACATTCCAAATCACATGAAATTTTTGTTAAGAAATAACTTGAGTTGACATCATACATGCATATCAAACGCATCAACTAAAAATAATGAATTAACAAAATAAATTAATCATGCATGATCCCAAAACTTGCATCATGAAATAAAAAAATTCTCGACTCATAAATAAAATTCAACGCGTTTTGAATTTTAAACTCCAAAATCACAAAATATACCTTCATTTAATCAGTTTGATTTGTACATAAATAAACTAATTAAATATGCATTCAAATGTTCTTGTGAATATATATATTTTCTGACTCATGTGTAGAAACTATTCACGACTACGGATCCACACAAAAGTCCTTGTGAATATATATATATATATATATATATATATATTATTCTGACTCATATGCAGAAACTATTCACGACTACAAATCCACATGCAAAAATGTAAAAAAGATTCAAAAAACCAATAAAGAAACTAAACTTGCCACAAAGGTTTTTTTGTAATAAAAATGAAATTTGTTTGTAAATTAATATTTTACTCCAGAAACAAATTCTCCCATGTACTACGATAAAGTCAAAAGAACTATGATAAATTAACAAAATTAATTTTCTAGTTATTAAAACCAGAAAATAAATTATAACATAAAATAATTTTATTTTCCTTATTATTTAAACTAGTAAAATAAAATACCGAAATAATATCTGATTACAAAAAATCAGAAAAACAAACCACAAATTAATTTTCTAGTTACTAAAACCAGAAAATAAATTATAACACAAAATTATTTTATTTTTTTTGTTACTAAAACTAGAAAATAATGTAATTTTATTTTCATTGTTACTGAAACTAGAAAATAAAATATCACAAAACTATCTGATTACAAAAATTAGAAAAAACACAAAATAATTTTCTAGTTACCAAAACCAGAAAATAAATTAAAATACAAAATAATTTTATTTTCTTTGTTACTAAAACTAGAAAATAATATAATTTTATTTTCATTGTTACTAAAACTAGAAAAAAAAAATACCAAAATAATTTTTTGTAACACCAAATAATATTCTGCAATTGTTAATGATGTCAGTATATTACTACTAGTTGTCAAAGAAAAGAGACAGTATATTACTACTATCTGTCAAATAGTATAAATCACGATTTGTTTTTCTAACCAGAATGTTACTTTGAAAACACAGAAAATTAAGTACAATGAAGATACCAAAAACAAAATACGAATTCGTCTTAAGATTGTTGGCCAATCTTCACTGTATTTAAATAGATTAAATACTGTTGTGTACTAAACAACAACTAGAATATGAAAAAATAAAGAAAAGGAGAGAATTTGTTTGATTACAAAAATCAAACTCGAAATACAAAAAAAAAAAAATAAATAAAAACATATTTTATTTTATTACAAAAAAAAAATTAAAATCTGATTTAAATAAATAAAACAGAATAATAAATTAAACAACTTACTTGATTAATTTCTTTAAATAATTATCTGATTAAGTCCAGTGTTTGACACACTGTGTCCTTAAGACAGATTCGTCCTCTCCACGGTATTTTCAGAATTTGGACGTCTATCTCCCAAGATAAAATGATCTACTACAAACAATAGGAGCACTGCAAATTGTTTGGCTAACGAACACACTAAGTGTTTATACTCTCTCTGACAAGAAAATAATGCAGCAAAATGAAGAGGATGTTTACAGGATTATAAAGGACGAAAATTAGAGTTACAAAATCCAAATGAGGGCTGTCCTATTTATAGATGTAATGGTGGCTGTAGGTTTTGAATTGAATAGGTATGAAACTTGTTGGTTTTGAATTCAAACAGATTTGAATCTATTGGATTACAATTCAAACAGATAACAAAAATAGGAAGGGCCCTGTTTGGGTGTACAGTAAATCCGGACCAGTTTAATTCTGGTTTAAAATCGGGAAGAGCCATGTTTGGATGTACAGTAAAACCAAACCAGTTTAATTTTGAATTCTGGATTTTATTTTACCAAAATAAAATTAAATTCAAATATTTTTGGCCCAAAAAGATTAACATTGGGCCGAACAAGCCCAACCCAACCACACACCCCGCACCCACGCCCAGCCTGCCCGCGCGTGTGGTTTTTGGGTCCAATGGGTCTAGCCCATTTTGCCCACAACCTCTCCTTCTAAAACACTTGGGTACCCCTTCGGGCACACCTATGTACTAAACCTAAGCCTTATAAACCCATTCAAAACTTCCCACCAAATCAATGTGGGACAAGCCATTTTACAACCTTAATGGTGTGTTTGGTTGAGGGATTTGGGGAGGGATTTGGAAAGGGAAAGGGAAAAGGTGCGTGAAACTATGTAAAATATAAGTATGATTTATTCACATTTCACCTGCATAAGGAATTTTCACCAAAACTCTATTTTCATGGAGCACACTTTGGCTTCAATTTTCCATTCACTCGGTAATGATTTTGAGTAACCAAATATATAACGTGAATCACAACGCGACATAGAACGCGTTACTACTTTGACCCGTAAAAATCGACGCACGGGACCCACTTAAAAAATAAACCAAACTTAAATTTTTTTTTTAATTATACCTAAAATTTTATAACTATTTCTAACATAAATAACGTGTTGTATTGTTATAAAAATAAATAAATAAACTTCTCATTTGTGTGCAGTGTGTGTACACACGTACGTGAAAAAGGAGAGAATAGAGAGACAAAGCATGTCTTGAATATTGAGACATATATTGTTCCAAAAACTGTCAATTCTGATTTGGATATGACTAGTAATTGTACCCATGATCTCCTCAATCAGACAGACATGTCCAGACGGAACAAATTACTTCACATCTTTTAAACGTTTTTTAAAACAAACCAATTGCATTATCCTAATCTTAACCAATCAAGAAGATGAGTGCACACAATGTGTGCTTTCTAAGTTTAGATTCATTTCAGACATTGTTTGGTATTTGACTATTTCAATAGTTTTGGTAACATAAAATTCGAAATCACTAAATTTTGAGTTGCCACACATTTTGGGCTTTGTTAGCTGTTGCTAAAAACTTAGGACTAGTTTGACATTATCTAAAAAATTTAAATATTTAAAAAGTTAAAAAGTTATTAAAAAAATAAAAAAATTCATACTATTTATATTTTTTTGGGGGGGAAATCTATCAATTGAAAAAAAAATAAAAAAAGAAAAATAGTGCTACACAATATTGTGCAGCCACAACTTCCCAAGTCAAAAAGAGAACGTGGCACACTTGTAGGCACACATTCCAATAAAATTTTTTTTTGAAAAGAGATAGAAACTGTGCAGCGCAATATTGCTTCTTGTGTCAGTGAGGGTAATTTCGTAATTTTATAATTTTATACAATATTTTAATACATATTTATTCGTAAAAAATTAAAAAATTATCTCAAACTTCTATATTTTTTCCCTCTACTTTTTAGTCCAAAAAGTCAAAAAGTACACTTATTTAGGATATCTCAAACAATCCCTTAATTTATTGGTTATAAAATATTATTTTACTATAATGTATTATATCATTCAGTATATTCATTTCTGGTCAAAAAGTCAATTTTAAATTTATTAAGAAATTAAAAAATATATATTATAAATGCGCCAAAAAAATTGATTTTTTAAACATTGATTTATTTTTATTTATTTATTTTTTTTTAAACAATAAACTAACTTCTTAACTAATTCTCGGGATTGCGCTAACATATGATTATGCTATCTCTCCGGTGTAAACCTAATTGAGATTGTAGAGTTTAGCTATGATGCTTGTTTGCACTACCTTATTTTATTGATATAAGTTTATTATGTATTTGATTCTTCATCAATAAAACTTTCTTTTGTTGATAAAAAAAAAAAAAAAACTTCTTAACTAATTCTCAAAATTTCTCAAAAGCATTCTTAAAAGTTTATTGAAAATGAAGATATATATATATATATATATAGATATATATATATATATATATGGTTATTTTCACCAGAAAATAGAAAGATGATTGTGTATAGTCATTGAAAAAAGTAACTGTTTTTTATGTGGATAAGGTAAAGACTTTTTAATTTACATATGCAATTGAAATTTATCCAATTTTAACGATGAAGTTGAAATTCCGAATTCAACAAATTTAAAGTACAAGAATTAACCACCACTGACCATATAAAAAATAAAAAATATATACATATTAACCCCCACTTGGCAAATATAAGAGGGAGACCAAAAAAACCACCAAATGAGAATATGAAACAAAATTTTCTCATCTGTCATTTTTACTTGAGAACTTAAAACGCTCCCCCCCCCCCCCCCCAAAAAAAAATACAAGTAATTCACAATCACTTGACAAAGACACATAAAAACAAAAATTTCAAAAAAAATAATAAAATAAAATTATAATGGATCTCTATTATGGTCAGATCATCATGATGAAGTCACAATTGTGCAAATCAAGGACTCCTCTTCTTTGTCACAATCACAAGGCAATGTTGCCTTATGTACACACCCTGTGCTCATTAGCTTCTGAGCTTTGATAGCTTGATAGTGCCAGTCTGTGGTCCCTACCACATACAACATAAGCCCAGCACAACAGACTTGGGCCGAGAGAAGGCCCATCCAAAGCCCACAAAATCCAATCCGGACCCAAAACCCAAGCCCGATAGCCACCGGCATGCCCACTAGATAGAATGCCCCGAGGTTGACGTTGGCTGCAGTGGTCAGGCGGGCGGTCCCCCGAACCACCCCGCATCCGACAGTTTGCGGACAGTTCCCAAGCTCACACAGCCCTAGGATTGGCAAAGCGGCTGATGTCAACCGTAGGATCTCGGCATCGGTGGTGAACATCCGGGCCCACTTAAATCTCATCCCGGTGGCAAAAATCATAGCCAGGAAGCCCATGACAGCCGCTAAAAGTATGGACACCACCGCGGATACCCGAGCCTTTCCGGGCCGGTTTGCCCCGAGTTCGTTCCCAACCCGTGTAGAAACCGCGAACCCGAGAGAGGACGGGAACACGTAAATCAACGACGTTGTTTGGATCAAAACACCCATCGAAGCTACAGTGGCTTTGGGGTCCACCAGGAGCCCAGAAAACAAGATCATGATCTCGTACCACCACCACTCGAGGCAAACCGTAACACAGCTCGGCGCGGCTAGCATGACGAGCGGCTTCCAGCCAGTCAAACACTCGCGGCTTGGCGCGCACCAAGTCGGCACGTGCAGGCCAGAAACCCACACGTACGAAACCAGCGCCACCAGGACGGCGAAGTTGGAGGCTGCAGCAGCCGCCGCCACGCCGGCGACCCCTAGCCGGAGGTGGGAGACGAATAAGAGGTTGATGGGGAGGTGGAGGATTGTGCCGAAGAGCGATGCTAACGTGAGCGGGTGGGTGATGCCTTGGGCGCGAAGGTAAATGCGGATTGGATGAATGAAGGAATTGGTGAAGAGGTCAGGGAGAGAGAAGATGAGATAGGTGTGAGCGAAGCGGGTTATAATCGGATCCTGATGAAGATAAAGAAGAAGTTTGTCGATATTGATCCAGATAAACGAAATGGGTATTGCAGAGATTGAGAGAAAGATCACAGAGCGATGGAGAGTTAAAGAGAGAAGCTTGGGACGATGAGCTCCAAATGCTTGGGAACAGAGAGGTTCCATTCCAAGGGCCAACCCAGATAGAACCGAATACCCGGTGATGTTGGCGAAAGCGATGGCGAGAGAGCCTGCGGCGAGCTCGGTGTCGCCGAGGCGGCCGAGGAAGAGCATGGAGAGGATGGAGCGGGAGTAGAGGATGAGAGAGGTTAGGACTATCGGGAGAGAGAGTTTGAAGAGTTGTTTGGTTTCTGACAAAATCTCTCGAATGGTCAATTGGGTTGTTGTTTGGGTTTTTGGGTAGGCTGCTGGTTTTTTGGTTTCGAAGATGTCCAAGTAGAGGTGGCTTTGTGGTGGATTTTGGGAGGGTGTGATGGTGGTGGTGGTGGTGGTGGTGGTGGTGGTGGTGGGTTTGGTGTTTGGATTACACATAGTGAGACTAGTTTAGAAGAGTAAATTTTAAATGGATTGTGTATGTAGAGATAATGAGTTTTGAACTAGTATTAATAGAGAGAAAGTGGAGGGTGTTTTTGCATTAATTTAATTCAAATGGGGAGATATTTTAAATATATTTTTTTTAATCGTGCTATACACATCAATTGGTATATCAATTAATGTATCAACATATGCACATTATCAATTTAAAATTATGACCTCACCTATTACATAAATTACAAAAATTCAAAAATTTTAAAATTATATCACATTATCTATTAATATATTAATTAATAAATTAATTAATGCATATATCATTATTATTATTTTTAACAGTGGGTTGTGGTTATGGAGATAAAGACATTTTTTCACTTGCACCCGAAAAAAAATAAAAATAAATAAATAAATAAAAAAACAGAGCAGACCCCCTCAGATTTCCACCCCACTACCCCATACACGTGGGGTTGGTGAGTGGGGGAGAAGAAAAAAAAAAAAAAAATTTTTTTTCCACCAATGAGAGGCAAAGGGGTCGTGGGGTGGCTGTCAAAAGGAGGTCTAAATCTTTTTTTGATAAAAAAAAAACACAATTTTACACATGTATATACTTTATTTGGTTCAGAATTCAGACACAGAGCTCCAATTTCCAATATATATATATATATATATATTATACGTGTGTGTATAAAACAGTAAATGGTGTAGAATAGATTACTTCGCGCCCTCATGCGGTAGTTTTGCTCTACGTTCACTTTCATCAACAGAGATATGTTTTATCTGTTTGGTGATTATGAAAGCTGATAATAAAAAATAAAAAATAAAAAATGAAAAAAGAGTAGGGTTTTTAAGTTCAAAAGTTAGATCAACTTTTTGAATTAAATGGTGACTCAATTTATTAAAATATTTAAGGTCTTGTTGAAAGTTGGTTATTTAGTTTTTTAACTATTTTAGTTTGATTAATAAAATAGTTGTGCTTATGAAGTTCTTTGGTTTTTTAATTTATTTATTTATTTTTATTTAGTTAATTTAATGATAATGTGAGAAAAAGTGAAATGATTATGAGTTGACTGTGACATCTTGTCTTATTAATTATTTTAATCTATTTTATCTTTTAGTGAACTATTTTAACCCAACCCATTTTTCAAACACCCCTAAGTTAGATCTAGAAAAAAGACTTTTATATTATTTTTTGTTATTTAACCATAATCATGTTTCTAATAGTTTTTTTAATAACTATTTTAATTCTAACTATTTGTTGAAAGATTAATAATTTTTTTGTGTGTGCTAAAATTTGACTTGACCATACACAATCAATAAAATCTTCTCATTCTTGGAAATCTGGGAATGAAAATGATCTTGATGAATTCGCCTAGATTTTTGTTTGCAAAAAACTAATGTTAGCAATGCCCTCAGGTGGGTGTCAACTGAAAGGACGCTCCAATAATAAAGTTAGTGACAATCTTAACAAAGCTAAAACACAATGACCTTAGTGCCTAAAATCTTACCTACCTTCACCCATGAGGTTGATCTCTTTATATATAGTGCCCTAGATCTGCCTAGAAATCTTTTTCATCTAAGACTCGTCCTCATCTAGGATTGCGCTCTCTTGATTGAACCTAGGAGTCGTAGTTCATCAAGACTCAGCTACCTAATCTGAATATCTCGGCTAAGGTATTGGTCACGGTCATATCTCGACTCATTACAAAAAAAGTCACTTTTAGCAACCAAAAAATTGATCATCAATTGTTCAGTTTTTGGTCGCCAAAGCCATTTTGCGACAAAAAATTTTGGTCGCTACATTTGTTGCCAAAAACCTGTCGGGAAAGGTTTTGCCGACTAAAAAACTTTTGGTCGGAAAAAAGTGAGTCTTTAGCGACCAAAATTTTGGTTGCCAATAGTCAATTATATTTCTTTAAAATCATACATTCACCGACCAATCTTTTAGTCGCCAATAGTCAAGGAATCGTTGACCAAAATGTTTAGTCGCCAAAAGTTACCAAATGGCGACCAACATTTTTAGTCACTAGAAGCTTCATCCGTGAAAAAAAATAATTCATTGTTAAGTTTTGCATCCGCTCTTATAAAAACTCGAACCACTGACCTCTCATAGCATAAGCCTTATGCACCACACACTTCCCACTACGCCAGCGTAACACCACATGATTATATATGTAATATATAATATTTATATATATGAAATATACATAATTATTTTAATTGACATAATTTATGTAAAAATAAATTATTTAGTAGAAAAATAAAAATAAAAATTTAACTTTTAGTGACCAAAATAATTTTGATCGGCGAAGAGACTTTCTTGCTACAAAAGACCACTTTTCGCTACTAAACATATTTTTAGTCACCAATTGTAGACTTTTTGGCTACTGAATTTTTTTTAGTCGCCAAAAAACTTACTTTTGGCTACTAAAAAATGTTTTAGTGGGTAAAACCCACATAATTGGCGACCAAACTTAGAATTAGTCGCCAATTGTAGACTTTTTGGCTACTAATTTTTTTTTAGTTGGCAAAAACTGCACTTTTGGCTACTGAAAATGTTTTAGTCGGTAAAACCCACATAATTGGCGACGAAAATTATAATTAGTCGGCAATTGTTGACTTTTTGGCTACTAAATTTTTTTTAGTCGGCGAAAACTATACTTTTGACTACTAAAAATGTTTTAGTCGGTAAAACCCATATAATTGGCGACCAAACATATTTTTAGTCGCCAATTGTGGACTTTTGGCTACTAAATTTGTTTAGTCACCAAAAAGCTTCACAATTGGCTACTAATTTTTTTTTAATCGCTGAAAGCTATACTTTCAACGACCAAATTCTTTTTAGTCAAAAAATTTGATTGCCGAATGTGTTTTTTCTTGTAGTGACTAGTTATATTCTGCCATGTGACTCATTGGCCCAAGATCATGTCTCGAGGCCTAACTCAAAAAATACGCTTCACACACACACACACACACACACACACACACACACACATATATTTACATTGTGATTAATTTTTCTTTTACACTTCAACGAAATCAATATTCAATTATTATTATGATTATTATTATTATTTAGAACAAAGGATATATAATGTGTTTTAAATATTATAACTCATGCTATGCATAATATTAAAATATAAATATTTCAAAGAATAATTGTTTTTCTAAAAAATAAACTAGCACAATTGCTAATCATTACCAAAAAAAATAAATAAATAAAAATTCATTCAAAATTAATAAGTATATAAAACTTTTTTTAAGGTTAGATGAAAGACTCAACTTAAAGGTGGAGTCATCTTTTATTTTCTTTTTATTAGGTCAAATACTTGTAAAAAAAAAAAAAAAAAAAGGTTAAATAGAAAGTTCAGCTAAGTTATTTTAGTCATTTGCAATATTGTGGACTGATTTTAATGACATCTTTTGTTACATTCAATGTTATTGCTAAAATTTTGTTAGTAAGACTCGTTGAACAATAATGCTAATGACTAAAGAGGGAATTATATTGACATTGTATTAGTAAAAAAAATTTACAAAAAAATAAAAAATATTAAAAATGTTAACAATTAATATCATAATTTTTTTTACTAATATGTAATAATTCTTTAAAAATCGCACTTAACATTAATTTTCCCATGATTAAGTGCTAATGATCTGCCCAAGAGTAAATGTTAATGAGTATCATGAGTTATTGGTAATGGAGTCGTTGCCAACGAGTAAAGAGTAAATGCTAACGAGTGTCGTGAGTAGTGACACTTGTTAAGCATTTGATATAGAGTAAATGTCATTAGATTTTGGGGTGTGCTACCTCTAATTTTATGTTTGAAACTTTTTAAGTGCAAATAATTTATTGGAATTAATTTATATCGGTTTTGTCTTAATTTTAATTGGAACTCTACAAGTGAATGGGGGAATTAATCTTCTGAATTAGTTGGTCTCATGGGCTAAATTCCGAATTATTAACCAAGAAAAAAAGAAAAAAGAAAAAAGAATTAAAGTAAAAAAAATATTTTCAAAATTCTAAATGTGTTAAAAAACGGCAGTGATTCGTAGCTCGAATCTTGTGACTCGAGAGTGGCTCGATTTTTGTTTTCAGCAGGAGAAGGAGGAGGAGGAGGAGGAGGAGGAGAAGGAAGGAGGAGGGAGGGGAGGGGGCCATAAAAATGGCTGGAGGAGGAGTCGGGGCTGCGCGGGGCTGCGACGATCGGAGCTTCTGCGACGGGCGAAGGCGGCGGAGGCGACGAGCTCCTCGCGACGAGGACGGCGGGCAGAGGCGGCGGAGGCTCCCTCTCTCCTCTTCCCCTCCGTTCTTCTTCTGGTTTCAACGAAGAAGAAGAAGAAGAAAAGGAAGAAAGAAAAAGAAAAAAAAAAAATCGAATTGCAAAACGACGTCGTTTTGCAATTCGAGCAGATTTCGAGCCATGATTTTCGAGCTACCAGTCTTTATCCATTAAAAAAATGTATTGACATCAATAAAAAAGTGTATTGAATAGTCACTACAAAAAATTATTGTTTTAGAGACCAAAATTTAAGAAAAATTATTTTTTAGGGACTAAATATTTTTGTTACGAAAAGTATCGTTATTATATTTTTAGCAACGAAAATTAGACATTAATGATGAATTATTATCCTTTTGAGACCAAGTTTTTTGTCTAAAAAAATAAACCGTTTTGAGACCAAATTATTTTGTCCCTAAAAGTTTATTTATTAGTGACATTTTCGACATTTTGTTGCGAAAAGCCTTGTTTTGGACTTTTCGAAACGACCTTTGAACGACTATCTTTATGATGATAGAAATTGGTCCTTAAATATCTTTTGCAACAAAATTTTCACTTTTAGAAACCAAAGTATTTGGTCTTTAAAACTCTTATTTGTTGTATTGTGTAAAGTGTTTCATGCCCTTCAATTTCTTTGTTTGTTTGTTTTTCATTTTATTTTCTTGTGTACAAGGTCCACTTGTTAGCAAGACCTATAAAAAAAGAAAAAGAATTACAATAGGGGTT